ATTTTATGAGTGTTTTGCATCACGATGAAATCACTATCGTTGTAGTTCTATTGTATCATTATCTGCAAATAATGACTCCAGTTTCAGTGAGTCAACCGTCAAACAACTTGACATTGGAGAAAGAATTCTTTCGATATTTGTTGTGAGAGGTGCGATACTTATAATTTTTGCCTATGCTTTTTTGTATTAGTTTATGTATAATTGAATAGAGCATATTGAGTTACCTCGACAAAATGCTTCTCCAATATCCAAAAATCAGATTTTTCAAACAACTTCTCAAATTTCAGATTTCATCACAAGTGAGTAAATTATTTAAACAACAGTGAATATAATAACTTTTTTCGTTCTGTACAGCTATGCTAATACTTTTCTTCTTCGCGACATATTGTTGACTGAAAAACTAATTATTTATTGGGACTATTAAAATCTGATGCAGTAAAAAATATTTTGAATTATGAAAAACTACCCTTACGTTTAGAGATTTAGGCCAGTAAATACTGAAACATAAGGAAAATATATATGATATTCTGGATCAGAATAACAAGTTGAATCAAAGCACATAGATTTTATTATGAACTTGTTTTTTCATCGACATCTTATCTTTAGTCAACCTTGGGCTCTATTAAATTTATTTCTTCTGTGATTTTCCTTTGTCGAAACTTCGATGAAGACTAATGTCTAATGACATCTTGTTTTTCTTTACTCAGCTTATTATGCGAAATCCGGTTTTCATAGTTCTTTTTCTCATTTTTCAATTTCTGATGCTCAAAATCTCTAAACACAAGAGCAGTTTTTTTCATTATTCCGTCACTCTATTCGAAAAAATCCTCATTCTCACTAAGATGTTTCAAATCATAATAGAAAGTTTCATTCCATAAGGGATTAGTTTTTCAGTGAACTATGTGTTGTGAAGGACTAGAAATATTTTTACAGCTACAGAGAATGGAAAAAAATTATTACATTCACTATTGTATGCAAATCTAACATTTATTTTTTGACAAAATCTGAAAATTGAGATTTTTCGAAAGATTGTTTGAAAAAATCTACTTTAGGAAACTGAAACATACACAACGAACTACCTGTCAAAATGCAGTAAGATTGACTATCTGTTGTGTTGTATTTGTTGAAGATCAAATGGAATTCGTAGCTGCAGTACAGCAGAGTAAAAAATAAAACATGTTTGTTTTCTTAATACTATGACAAGTAAAACGATCCAAAATGATGAGATTAATGATGAAGCTAAGCAGAGTACATAATTATGCAATGTGTTCTAATGAACTCTTTTTGTAGGGCCCTCTTATTGGTGTTCAGTGATGTTGTGTTGATATCTTATGTGAACATCTTTTCAAATTTCCTAGATCAAAACTAACAATCGCAAGAACTAAGTTTATTTCAAAATTGAGCGATTTTCTTCTATAGAGACAAAGCGAAGTTTTTCTTTTTGTTGATACAGATATTCTTGTAGAACTTGTCACGCTCTGTCGTCTCGTATAAAAATATTTCAAAAATCTTTTCACGATTTCTGAATTATGATCACCTTATATATTAGCTTTTTCTGGTGTTTTAGTTTTAGTATGCGTTATTTTTTTCCGATACCTAATTCGATCAACATATTTGTTGGATAATCAGACAATGATATTATTATTCTGTAACTTTCGATGCTTGTTGTTATACTTTATACTTGGCCACTTCAACATAGATTATGTAATAATAACTTGGCCATCATCAAACTCGTCTAACATTCGTTTGTTAGGTCTCTTCAAAGATATCGAAAATGCATTTGACACTAACAATTTGTACGCTCATTCTTCAACTATGTTTAAGGCAGCTGTGCTGCTTTCTCATCAATATAATATGACAATCGGAGGAGAATTAATAGGATGGCAAGTAGAAAAAACTACTAGAAATACAATAGATGTTCTCGAAAAAACATGTCGTGCAGTATCTGTTTCAAATGTTGTCGGTATTGTTGGTCCAGCATTATTACGAGAAGCTCATCTAATTGCTGCATTCGGTGAAAAAACTGGTATACCTGTTATATCATATGCTGCAACTGATCCTAATTTATCAAATCGAAATGTTTATCCAACCTTTTATCGTACAATTCCTTCGGACAATGCAGCTGCATCAACTCTAGTAAAACTATTCAATCGATTTAAGTGGACATCATGTATAATAATTTATCAAAATGATGCTTTTGGATCTAATGGCGCTAAAACTATAAAATGAAGCTTTTAATAGTAGTGGTTTAATCGTCAGACGAATGATTGAATTTGATATTGATATATTTAATATTCGCGGTGATTTACAACGTCTTTTAACTAAAAGTGCAACACGAATTATTGTGTTATGGGCTGAATCAATTTATACATCTTTGATTGTGCAATATGCTCTCGATCAAAATTTAGTTGGTCCATATTTTACATGGATACTAAGCTCTAGGATTTCTTTAAATTCTTTCAATGAAATATATCATCAAAACCTAATTGAAATGCTTCTGATTGAACCGCTTATAGATTCAACTGCGAGTCAATCAATTAATACAACATTATTAAATGCAGCATATAGAATTTGGCAACAGTATGAACCTAAATCTTTTCCTGGGTCAATGAATATAAATCATTACGGATTATTTGCATTTGATGCAACATGGTCATTAATTCAATCATTACAACAATTGTGTTCATCAAAAACAAATAGTATTTTATGCTTGTTATTTGTTGAATCTTCATTCTGTTTTGATCATCGACTCGTTCAGTTAAAGTTGTTATTAGATACAGTTAGTGCAACAGAATTTCTTGGTGTATCTAGTTCTATACAATTCAGTGTTCATATAACAGATCAAATAAAGGATTCATATTATTCTATAAAAAATGCTCAACTGTCTTCGAATGGTTTAAGTTTTGTGCCCATATTGGAACATTCTGAACCTAGTTATTGGAGAATGCCTACAGAAGAAAATGTTATAATATGGCCAGGTAACTTATTAATAAAACCTACTGATCAAGCAATGCTTAAAGATGTACGTTTAAGAATTGGTGTTATGGAATCACCTCCATTTACAATAGTTGAAAATGTCATAGATGCATCGGGAAAAAATACAACACAATTGTACGGCTATGTACCAGATCTCATTGAACTTTTACAAAAGAGACTTGGATTTATTTCAGATATTCAATTGGAAACATCAAATTAAACATATGATGAATTAGTTCAAGCAGTAAGTAACACTATTTATGATATAATGGTAGGTGATGTCACTGTTACTGCTTTACGAAGAGAATCAACCAGCTTTTCTAATGCCATATATTACAATTCATTACGTATTATTATGAGAAAAACACATCATGTTAATATCGATATATTATCGTTTTTAAAACTATTTTCACACAATCTTTGGTTGTTAATTTTGGGTACTTTTGTCTATGCTAGCATTTTGCTTTGCATCATAGAGAGACAAAATAATGAAGCATTACAAAATCGATCATTATTATCTCAAGTTGCAATGAGTACATGGTATTCCTTTGGTAATATTGTTGAATATGGTATAGATTTTCACGTTAATACAGCTGCTGGACGTTCATTAATTAGTGGTTTATATATCTTAAGTTTGATATTAGTAGCAACATATACTGCAAATTTAGCATCTGATTTAACAATATCAAAATCAAAAGATGTTATTTCTGGAATTGATGATATTAAAAGTGGAAAAATACCATTTAATCCTATTGGTATTCGTATTGGTACAGCTGGAGAAGATTATTATTTAAGAGAAGTTTCTAATGGAAATCGAAATTATTATCCTTTGAAATCTCGCAAAGAAACATTTGATAATCTACTTGCAAGTATTATTGATGCATCTTTTATAGATATTGGTGTGGGTGAGTATGTCACGAACAATATATATTATAACTTAACTTTAGTAGGAGAAGATTTTGGTGAAGGTCTTTTTGGTATTATTACTCCTCAGCAATGGATATATGCACAAGATTTAGATGTAGTTATTTTATCATTAAGAGAATCAGGTACAATCGAAAAGTTAAGACAATAATGGTTTGAATTAAGAAATTGTCCTGCATTGTCTGAAACATCGACTGCGATTGGAATTGAAGCGATAAGTGGACTATTCATGATATTTGGAGTGATTAGCATTTTATCCTTATTATTATTTACATGGATGAAACACAATATTATCAAAGATTATTTATTTCTAATAATATGTCGAAAAAATCGCTAGCCATAAAACTACCCGTTGGCTTGACTCAATTGTATTTTGACAGTATCGTAAACTAAAGGTCTTTTCGACTTTGTCTTGTATAAATAATCGATGAAACTGTAAAATTGATTAAATTGTATGTACTTCTTGCTTCTATTCTGATAATAGTCCATAATATTCTAGTCTATGTAGAATTCTAATCAATGACAGATTTAGAAAGATGATACTGGAATTAATCGCTCATCTTCCTAAACATTTTTATTGACCTGTATCTAACAAAAAATACTTAAAAGTGATCTGATACAGGCTTTAATCAACTTTAAAACATGCTTTATGATCATGATCGACCTCTCTCCTACCTATCATAAAAATTCTAGGCTTTCCACTGATTGTAATGATATTGAAGAATATGCTTAACATAGCAGTCTCGTCAATTTTTATCTATAATCTCAATAGTCATGGAACCATGAGGGTAAGAACATTTTGTTTTTCGTAGAAGTCAAACAAACAAATTATAACCTTTTTCGTGACTGCACACCACTCGGTGAGATGCTTTATTTGTTTATTAAGGAATTTAGTTGTGATAAAAAAGAGGTAAGACCATTTTTCATTCTTCAATATGTGTCAAACAAATGGTATGATTAGAATAAGCATACAATTATGAACAAAATAGACTGTTTATTACGGAACTCAAAAGAATTTTTTTCTATTTTCGGTCTATTTATAAAGATAGTCATTTTTTAATCCGCTAAATTATTTTAAAATGAATCTAATATTCATCAACAATAGTGTTATTAAGGATGTGAATGTGACTGTGAGTGGGTGTGGTTGTAAATGAAGAGAAGGCTCACATCCACACCCCTTTTTCTTTCTAATCAGTTTCAAACATCTTTCAAAGATTGGTACAGCTCACATAAATGTCGTTCGTACGAAATTATAGAGCAATGCCAAACACATAAATGATATAATTATTACGCATCCATAAATTTGAACTGCTCCAGGACGAAAGATGCATATATGGCAGAATCCTTTTTGTTTAGTTGTTCATCAGTGATCCGTAGCGTTGTCTTACGAATGCATCAGGTTCGAGCTGTTTAACGATCTTCTGAATATCATTCTACTAGTACTCTTGATAATGTTCTGAGAGATTTATTCTTTTACAAGAAAATTATGTGTTGGATTAAGAATAAAAAGATGAGAAAGTGTGTGGAAATTGAGAAGTTCCAGAATGATAGATCTTTTTGACCAAAAAATAAACAGCTCGACTGTAATATCGAAAGGAAAGCAAAATATTTTAGTTATTTGAAAAAATAGCTAATGCTCACCCTCATTCTTAAAGAAGAATTACAAAAGCATGGATAGCTTATCAAACGATGACATGTGTCAGCGTCAAAGATCTTGCGGATATTGCCGCTAATTTTAGTGTTAGCTTAATACACAGTGCCTTTGTATCTATATTTTTCTTTTTTTCATTTTCTTTCGTTCTAGTTTTGACTCATGCCCATCTCAGAAAAGGCACAGCATGATATTGCTGCCACGATAATTTTCTTCTTTCCTTTCTTTTTCGTTTTCTATAGATCATTTTTTATCGTCCAGTTTTGTCCCACGTCGTACTTTCTTTTTCTGCTCCTCTTTATGTTTCCATTCCTTTCTTTTTTTTTTTCTTCGCTTCTCTCTTTCTTTTTCCTTCTCTTCTCGGTTTGTTCTTGTTTAGCCTTCTCGATTGTTGCACGCTCATTCATTGATTACGCTTATTTTTTTTCTTCGTTCTTCCCAAATAAAACCAATATAATTTCGATTTCTTTTCCCATCAATTTACGATTAATACAAGGGAGGTAAACAGTTTTCTTTGTGACTGTTTCTTCTCTTCCTTGAAGATCAGGACTTATTAGAGAATGACCTTTTAGGCATATGGTCCTCTTGTGAATAGATGTGTCAGGACTAGTTTTTACAGATCCAATAAGACATCTCACAGCATAATCGATTGTCCCATTTGTCTCGTATATTTCTCCATACATTTAGTTAGTTGAGTAAGATAGAAATCGATGTTCCATGTTCAACTTTTTAATGCAAAAAGTTGTTGATACAAACCTATCATAGAAAAGTCACTTGATTCGACGCTCATGTATAAAAGGTTCCGTCATGTTTCAGAAAACTCGCATACTACGTAGGATATTTTAGGTCGAGATTCAAGTTTTTTTAGGATCGATTCGCCCGGAAAAATGTTCCAACACTATTTGGGTGTAGGGGTGGATACAGAGATGATCCACACTCACACTGACACTCACACACCATACACTGTGTAGCTAAGGTAATTATGTGTTACTGCTGTATTAGTGAATGATTCATTTTATCAGTATGTCGACACTAGTGTAAAAGGGACTCCTAATGAGTGAGAGAAAAGTTAGTATTCTTGGTTTGAATTCTTATGATACTGCTTAAACAACGGACGCATTCATTATTAAAAATCGAAAATTCACCGTAATACATACTGAGCGATTCTGCATCAGATGAGAGAGAGAAATCTATTATGTTGAGATATGTCTTTGCCGAAGAATGCTTCGAGACGCTCATGTATTTATTGTTTTCCGAGTGTATCAGTTTTTATTCTGCTGCGTATGATACAATAGCCACGCAGTCTGAAGTGATGATCGAACAATTTCGCCCCTCATTATTACCATGTATCTACAAGTTGAAAATGTATCCACCGAAATAGAAACGTGAAACGGAATCGAGTCAAGATTTAAGACTGTCGTAAAATATTTCATGTGCATCGAGTGCCCGTAGTTTAATTGCTTGATTTTTTTTTCTCTTCTGTTCTGTGTAGACATTCAGGTGAAGTCAATAAAAATCCGTGCGATACAATGCAAACAAAAAGAATTATCATACAATTGCGTGTTTTTTTTTGTTCACTTCTTGCTGCTTTATCACGTCGATCACATAAAAGACCTTCTTTTCTTCCTTTTAGGCAATCGACATACATCATTTTGACTAAAGCAATAATCAATGACAGCACCACAGACATTCGACGACGAATATCTCCAAAAAGAATTTGACAAAATTGACAAAGGTTTGTTTTCACCAAAAGTGCGTTGATCACATACAGTGATTTTTCAATAAATGCCTCATTTTTGTCATTTATTTGAATAATTTCATAAAATGATGACAGTCTATGTATTTAGATAAGACGGGTAAAATATCGACGATCGAATTTCGAAATTTGGCTTTTACTGATGAATTTCTTCAAAACTTTCGCAGTACAACAATCGATACTTATATTACCGAATTGAGTAATAATACAGGATGGATTGCATTTGAACAATTCAAACAGTTTATGCAAGCGGAAACGCATACATATAAGAATCCTCTAGTTATTATAGAACTCAAACAAGCATTCAACGAGGTCGATACTAATAAGGATGGCCTTATATCACCACAAGAAGCACGTCAAGGTTTTACTTTAGCTGGTGAACGCATGCCTGGACGTAGTTTTGGCCATATTATTGAAATGTTTGATGATAATCACGACGGACAAATGTCACTCGAAGAATTTTTAAATAATGTTCAGAAATTAGTTCAAAAATAAATCAAAAAGAGACGTTCGTATTTAGTTATCTAATATGCTCACCATTCTGACAACGTAATCTTTTTAGATATTAAGGAACTTTTCTAATCAGTTTCAAAAGTCCACTGCAACCATATGACGATGTAATTGGTCCAATTAAGTTCTGCATATTGCCTCTTTCAGTCGCACATCAATTCACAATCCTATGAATAGATCAGATCTCAGCGAGGGTTCATCATAAGACCATCCTACTAGTCTTATGCCTGGCTGGAGAACATTTAATTTATTTTTTTATTTTAATATCTCAAACGAAGGGCCTAGTCGATTCATACCTATATTCAAACTATTAGATCATTTTATTAGGTCAATGCAGAGCAGTGGTAGAAACAATATTTTTGGGCCTATTTGAATCTCGGACAACAGGTGTGCTCAGTATTTTGACAGTATTTCCTCATCATTGTGACCGCTCGAACTGAGAGATATATCAAAAGATAGAGAACTTCCGAGCCTACAAAACATATCCTATTTCAGTAACGCAGATGTTCTCTGTAGAAGTACCATACGTCAAATACTGTCCAAAGTGTGAAAAAAGTACTTCTCCAAACATGTGGTATTTTGGTTGCGAGTATGAGGAGGGTGTATGCACTACGATAAAAACCTACAGTCAAATCGATAAATATATTCTGAATAAATGAAAAAAGGTTTTCCTCGATTCGAAGTGACAAAAGAAGGTGCTGTCAAATCAACTATGTTTGATTAGTTAAATGAAAAAAATGAAAGATGTATGCCGTAGCGAGCTAGTATCAAATACGAAAGAATATATATTGAAAACAAAATAAAATAAATTAGTAGATCAGAAAGAGCAAGAGCTATCCCCAATTTAAACATCCACCACGATGATTCACAGTTAAACAAATAATCGAACTTGGTCAAGGATAAAGTATTTGCTCAAATGCGTTTCGCGATGTTGATTTTTGCTATCTTCTACATTCACTAATTTTTTTCGCTACTTCGCCTTTCGCTGTTATGCACCTTCACTGAGATGTACTTTCGCTATTGTGCGTTTCGTACATTTTTTTTTTCGCTGAATGGATACGATATTCTTAATAGTCAGTCGAGACCAGCAGCAAGAATATGACTAGTGATACATGTGGATGGGATCAGATGATAGAAGACAAAATAAACATGATGCAATACAACTTAATTATTAATAATTATACCTAAAAGAAAATAGAATTTGATTCGAGTTTTTCAAGAACGGTCTTACTTGCAAACCAGTATATAGTGTAAGAATTGCATCTATTGGAGTTCCATCATTAGGTCAACATTTTTCTTAGCAGCATTGATCAAGAAAAGATATTTTTGTTTATTATTGATTCTATATACTCTCCAAATATATTTCGGATAAAAACGTAATTCATCTTATGAATGTAAAATAGACACATGAATGTTAGAAAAAGTGATACAATTGAAAGAACATGTTTGTTTTAGAAGAGTAACAAATACATAAAATAAAAACATCATTTATTTTTCTTTCTCTCGTGTATTCTATGTCAGCTGATGATATTGACTAAACTTGATGACAAGATTATTTCACGAGCTAATGGTAAGTTCGATTGACAAAGTGTAAAACAAAACTGATGATGATAAACTCTATTGATGTCATCAATTATGTTAAAAAACACATATTTTTTTATTAATTTTGTTTGTTTCATTGGGTACACCTGATGGTTTTCAAAGAAATAAACTATATAAACAAAAAAAAACTAGAAGTCATTCTTAAAGTCAATTTTTCTAATTCTCTTATATTTTGTCTCATTTATTTGATTGATTGCATTGAAAAAAGATAAATACAATATTGATTTTTATGATTATATTCTGTTTGTTTTTTTTTTATTTGAATTTACCAGCTAGTTACAATCATATTGAAATTATTTGACATTTTCAATTACAATTAAAGTAGCTTAATAAAAGTATTTAAAAAATCAACATCATATTTTCCTTGCAATAAAATCATTCTGGATGACTATAATATGAGTCTTTAAATGAACAGAAGTAGTTATGTTCTTGAATAAGAAACATTTGTTTTCATATCATTTATTTGCTGTAACCGGAACCCGTTATGGGACCTCATTTTTCCTATCGTTATTTTACTATTGTCTTATACAAATATCAATGTGTCAAGAACGAGTAATACTCGTCTTTATTTTCTCGTAGAATGATTACACATCAGACGCGAGCCAAAAATAGTTTCTTGATACTTCTATGGCACAATAGAGAAAGAAACGACGACAAACATGATGTTAATGCAGGAAAGCATATCCCGATATGTATGTAAAAGGAAAAACATCGAAGGAATACAATACTATTGGTTTGTTTCTCATATGAGTATAAATTTATAGAAAACTAAGGGTAATAATAATTGACCGAACTCCAAGCCAAAACGATCGAAAACACTGATTGGTTGTTTCTTGAAACTGCATAATCCAATAAGTGTTTATCCATGTTTTGTTGTCATTTTTCCCAAACAGCAAATAAACTTTATTATTGAATTAAGTAATCTATCAACACATTAATACTAAATCTATGCAAGATATTACATCGTCATTTTTATTAATATGTCGGTTTATCTATCTCTGTAGGATAGGTCGAACCATCTTAGATGACTCATCTAAGAAGAGGAATTTGGGTATAAGTGTATTATTGATTAAGCACCCACACCTACTAGTTCCCTTATAGGAATTACTCTTAGACTACTACTTTCCTATAATTTTTTTACGCAGATCATCATACTATGTTGTCTTCTCTAATATTTTTATTCATTCTTGTTGTTTAAAATAAAAGAAATCAGGAAATAAATGGCATGGCATTGTTTGAGCTCGTCAAAACCCTTTTTTCTCGGGGGAGGGGGGATGGTACATGCATATATCAAATTTTTAGTATAAAAAAAACTGTTCAGCGCTCAAACACCTTTTGTAAGACAGTGTATATACTTATACGTATCCCCAATTATTAAAGTCAATTTTAGTAAATCCATTTCTATAAAAAAAAAGGTGTGGGTGTGGGTGTGGGTATGGGTATGGGAGTTCTTTACTCTTTCATTCACACCCACACCCCGCATAATATCTAACCTAACACAATCAAATCGAATATTTGGAAAATTGAGCTTGAATGAAGATCAATTCTTTATTCACTTTCCGCATAAAAATCCGTTTAAATTTAAGGATTTAACGAAAAAAGAAGGTGCCTTATTGGCTATAAGAACAACCATTCAAAAGGCATTTTTAATGAAGCCTCATGCGTTCTTTGACGTTGATTGTTCCATAATGCAGATTTTCACAGCTAAATGGATAACATCTGTTTTCACGAAGTCGTTAAATTTACAGTAGATGTGCTAACAATAGTACTTAAGAGTTCTCATGGCTAGATGACAGCTTTTCTTTACAATCGACGTGATTCGTTTGCGATTAATAAATCCCTCCTGTTTCATGCCTCTATGGTGCTATCGAGTACGATGCGCAAAGAGAATAAAGACATGATGCTATGAATGCCGTATTGGATTTCTCTACGTAGAGAACAAGATAAAAATTGAAAGAAAAAGTATTGTGATAATCTTACAAACCGTGCAAGCACATGTATTGATGGTAATAGTAAAATTATATTAGTCTATTTTTATTATAACAACGGCATTGACGATGGGGCCAACAAATAAACCGGCATGGTTCTTTGCTTTCACGTTCACGAACACATTAATCGGTACTCAACGAGGGCTGTCGAAGTTCTCGAAAATGCCCACTTTATCTGATGTCCGTTAGTGAACCGAAGAGCTTTACTGGGCAGCCAAAGGAACATCAAATTTATGTCACATACTGATAATACACTTCACCTTTCTATTTCTCATCGTAGTTTTCTTTTCACTTAGCAGACTTGAAGTGCATTTTACTATGTTCATGCGTTACTTTTCTGTAATTAGAAGGTCTTTTCTCTTTTCAATGAATTATTATTATTTTTTCGTAGAAGCACTGTTCTATATGCGTCAGAAAAGAGAAAAAAAAATCTATGAAGGCGAATCTGAAAAAATGTATGCCTTTACGCTTCATCGATCATAATACACCTATATAAAGATATCATTCAACGCATGAGAAAAATATTTTCAAAAGAACACAGAAGTCCGCTAATAAAAAATAAATGTTCGCTTTTTCATAATATCTATATAATAGATTTCCCGATTTTATTTAAATTTATTAAAGTGACTCTGATATTAATACCAATCAATCAGTTCATATGAAAAGAAAAATTCTTTACGGAACAGAAACGCCCGCTGAAAGAAAAAAATATCTGCTGCTGAAGTATTCAAATTTTGCTTTTTCTATAACTACTGATATCTATGATATTTCATAAGATATGTAAAGTCGCACATATTCTTAGAGCACTTTGTGAAAAGTGGACATATCCTGGACCTTTGACACTGCTGCATTCAATATATGCGTTAAAAGTGTCGGCAACCTAAAAATGGAGACCTATTATTAAGTTTTGACCATTTCCCAAGTTTACCAACTTTTAGAGTATTTTTCATGAAAAAATCGATTTTGTTCACGATTGCACTTTACAGCATAGTCCGAAAATTTCTGAATCAACTGACAAAATTATATTTCAACAACTTTTAACAACTCGAAAAACAAACTATGCTCTTAATTGAGTCTAAAATGTCAGATGAGAAGCTTAGTCGAATATTAAAATAAATTTCAACTTAATAAGAATTGTAAGCGGACTTTATCTTTTGTAAACAATCATCTATCTCTTTTTTTCTCGTGCATAGGTTCAATTACAACCGTCGTTCTTATTGTGTATTTCTGTCATACTTGTGCTTTACGTACTGCAAGGTTTCACATTGGGCTTAATTCATGTTGTACCGGTCTATTTGGCTTCATTCGGTGCAAAATGGAAGCAACCAGGCACATTATCTTTCGTCATGTATCCATTCAGTTTGAAACTACTGTGGGCTTCTATTATTGATGCCTTCTATATTCGTCGGTTTGGTCGACGACAAACCTGGTTAATACCCATTCTAATTCTGATCGGTTTGATGATGATTATTGTTTCAGTTCATATTGACTTCTTGCTCGTTCAACTGCGAATTATTGAACTGACCATAATTTTCTTTTGCATCATCTTTCTCACAGCTACACAAGATATTTGTGTCGACGGATGGGCATTGACTATGTTTGCTGGTCCAACTATTATCTGGCAATCAGTCTTACAGATGATAGGACAACTCTTAGGTGGTTTTCTTGGCTCGTCAATACTGCTTACATTCGAATCGACTAATATGACCAATCGATTGCTTCGTCAGCCATTGGGCATTGCTACTCAGCCGTATGGACTCTTTAGTCTGGCTCATTTCGTACGATTTTGGGGTATGGCTTCTCTATTTGTGACTTTTGTTATTTTGATATTCTTTCGAGAACAACAAAGTACCAATGCAAATGATCATGAGCAAAATGAAAGTCGCTTGAGTTTGCTTGGCACATATTTGTCGATTGTCAGATTATTCAAGAAGAAATGCTTTCGTCAGCTTAGCTTCATCCTTATCAGTTGGCATGTGGATCATACAGCCACCTCGTCTATGACCTATCTCACATTGATCAGGTTAGTGAACTTTTTGAGAAACACAGTAAACCCGAGCACGTTGAAATGAGTTAAGAGATGAATTAAAATCCTTGTTCGGAAATCGCTTACGTCACATGATCTTGCAGTAGTTTCATTGAGTTCCATTACATTTTGATTCAATAGAGGAAGTTTTCTTCTCAATTACACAAGAATATTCGCATTTGCATCTGTTTCACACTTCTGCGACAATAAGTAAACAGCCGAATAAATCTGCCTATATGCTTTTCTTTATTCTTGTTTTAAGCCGCGGCTTGATTACACGAGACACATTGGGTCTGGTTATGATGCCTCTTATAATAGTGAAACTCAGCGTACATCTTCTTCTCACACAAACTTCTCGCCCGATCTTATGTGTTCCTCGACTGATTTTATGTGCGTTCATCGCCATGTTCATTTTCTTTGGCTATCGTCTATATTCATATCCGGTCGTCTTCTATTTTCTTCTCTATTTTCTTCTTGACCTCGATGATGTTATTGTCTATGCGCAAGGTGCAGCAGCTGGTGGATTCTTTGCTCAGATCAATGATGTACACATCGGTGGCACATATTACACACTGCTCGCATCTCTAACCAATGCTGGTCAAGCTGTGTCCTCCAGTCTCGTTCTCTATACTGCCAATTGGTTTCCCACAGAACAGGCCTATTTCATTGAAGTAGGTATTTATCTTATGCTGGGCTTGGCTTGGTTTACTGTTGCATGGCAAACCATGCACCAACTCCAAGCATTATCCGTTGATGATTGGCATTTAACAACTTATAAAAGAACACTCAATGAAAATCATCATGATTATAAGATAACGACAATTGACAGTAATAAACAGGAATCGCCTACAATCACCACTGATATAGAATGTTCAAGTTGGTTGTAGATTGATGCATTGACGACTTTCATCATTTTTCTATATCAAACTTAAAACATCTATATTCAATAGAATATTATCTATCTCCGCTGTCTGCATCCTCGTATAACACCTTTTCAACTTATTCTTCAACATCTTGAAACTCTTTGCTCAACAAAACTTTTGTCGGAATACACTTTACGGAAGTCATTGATATGGCATAGTGATATGACTGGCATGCTTATGATTTTCCGAAGTAGTTTGTTGATGAAATTTCACGTGTTTCAACAGGCGTAAATCGTATCCTCTAATAAATCTATCAGTCACAACACGCCTAATAAAAGAGTCCGAAATAGGCTGATTTAAAAATCTTAAGTTTTTTTTATCAAAAATTTAAAATAATTATGAGCATGTTCTGTATTTGAAATTCCTCTATTAATTCATTGTTTTAACGCATTGATCAGAAAAAACAAGTCATTTATTCTTAGGGAATTGAACTTCATAAATGACTGACACGAGTAATGCGAAACATTGAAAACTAGATAGAGTCAGATTGGTATAAATTCCCCATGACCATGAATAAAATTCAGTCTGCCAGGCGTAGGCCAGCGTGATTGATAGATGTATTATTTTGACGACAAGTGCAACCTTGCAATACCACCATTTGACAGCGTAATTCATATGAGATTGCAGCAAATACCATTTAGCTGCACTAGCGAATAACATGCCATTAGCGGTCATATACGTGAGCAATCGAACTAAGGAATGCTCCAGTATCTCCGTGGGTGCACTTGGACAGAGAGTAGAAAGAAACGAGATCGGGCAAAAGAGACAGTAGAGTCCCGTGACGGTAGCCAATGCACTTTCAATGTAATGTAGAATAACTGTGACGTAAAAGCCGTCGAGTCCTCCGAACAATTATGAAAGCATAGTCAAAAACCTATACTAGGAAAATGAGAGATACATATGAAAAAGATGAACTTTAAAGCGGATGTGCTCGTGGGCTGAAATCTTCAGAGTAAACTGCTGACATGATTTGGAAGTCTACAGAGAAAATGGAAAAACAATGAAAGGCTGTTAAAAGAACGTCATCGGAAAAAAGTAAAAGAAGCTGCGGTGTGGTACAGAGACCGAAATTCTCGACATTTCAAAAGTGAAAATAAGTACGCTAAGATTGTAGAGCATTGTCGGCTGAGTGCTGCCATGTGGTTGTTTTCGAAAACAAACGTAAACATGTCGTGGATGCGGTGTCAGATGTCTTTATACAACTGATGTTATTACAGAGCCAGAACACTTCTAATTCATTTCGTTTAGCATACTTATTTTCACTTGCAAATGGAGAATTTCGGTCCTTGTACCACCCTGCAGCTTTTTGACTTTTTACGAATAGCTTTCTCCAAAAAGTCTTTGATTCATTTGTTATTTTCTCTCTCGGCTCTGAAATCATGCCAGAAGTTTATCCTTAAAGTTTCAGCCAACGAGAACATCCGGTTCAGAAGCTCACTTTTTTCATATGGATAGGGGCACACAACCGGCATGCTGCTTTTAGTCTTTCAGCTGGTTTGTTGACAGAAAGAAAAACGACGTCTTTCTGTGCAGTAACCACCTATGCACAATGGGGACGTTGAAAAGTGTGAAAGGACAGTCGTCTCTTTCGTCAATATTGACGTTTATTGTCCTTGAGAAAAGATTGAGAATGCGAAATAAAACGAGGACAGGAATTAGATAAAAACGAGACAAAAAGAGTTTGCCCTGCGTTTAGATAAGAATTTTTACGCCTTTTTCATTAAAAGTATAATCTTGACCTTATAAGTTGCATTGTGTATCTCGTAAGGTCCCAGGTCGATGATTCCGGCCACCAGAACCTTCAGAAACCCGCCGAAAACGGTCTAATTTCCGGCCTGCTCCCGTCATTTCCGGAATCTTCCGCTAAATTCCGGCATACGGAAACGTACAGGAAATAAGTCAGAACCTGCAGGAAAACGCCAAAAAACGGCAAGGAACTGATCATTTCCCACCGGAAAACGTGAGAATACGTTAGGAACATCTTTGGAAGACCTTTCAAATACTATGAAAGATGTTTGAAAGATCCTTCTCTCATCTACCTTAGTTTCAAGCTATTTTTGAGACTCAGGTGGTTCAAATCATAGAAAATCACTTTCTAACACTTTATCATTCAATACCATAAACCAAACGCGTGGCAGAGAACAAATGCGCACTGAGATACACCAACAGTCTTGATAAAATTGCGCTCATAGTTTACGCATTTCATCGTCATTTTAAGCCCAAAACCTTAGATTGAACGAGTCACACACAAGAGGACCCACCATCACCACTAGAGTGAACCGAACAAGTGAATGTTCTCAATCCTGAAACAATGAGTCTACTCAACGCAAAAAGCTGCTCAGTTTGTCGCGAATCTGATTGGCCGCAAAATAGACCAATCAGATTTCAGGAGGGTTTTTCTTTCTTATTTTCAGAACAAGTGCTAGCTATGTTCCGGCCGACCCTATGGTGATCGATGACGCTCTATCGAATGAGGGGTATATGTATGGAGCTCCACCTTGCATATCACCGAGAAATAGAATCTCGCAATTTCATTGCCCAAAAAATTCACCAATTAGATTGAAAGAAGCCATTTCTTCACTATTTTCAGGACAAAAGATTCGCTTGCTAGAGCGAAATGAAAGAGGACCCCCACTCTCGATGCTTCCGACCGAAAAGGGCATGCTTTTACATCATAATGTGGAAATATAGCCGGGATGACTAAGACAAGCACTTACCTTGAAACCAACTTTCGGTCTGAATCAAGGATCATTTTACTCACTGATACATATATGTATATATGCCCAGCACAAAACAAAACGGTGAATGAATAGCGACTTTTTCTCGAAAGTGATTGGCCAATTTTTCCACCAATGAAATTGCGAGATTCTATTTCTCGATGATCCGCAAGGTGGAGTCCCATATAGATATTCGTCATTCTATAGAGAGCCCTCGATAACCGTTGGATCGGCCCGAACATGGCTAGCACTTGTCCTGAAAATAAGAAAGAAAAGTCCTGTTGAAATTTGAGTGTGGGTGTGAGTATGGGTGTGCATATGGGTGTAGATAAACTCTTACATACACCCACACACACACCCGCACACTCACATCGTAGTCTTCGAGAGATCTTAGAAAGGTGTTTGAAAGTCTTGGCGAGATCTTTCCAAGATTTTCAACCATCTTTCAACGATATTCAAACATCCTTCCTACACTTTCAAACTTCTTTCAGAAACCTTTCGAAGTCTTTCAAAGACTTTCAAAGTCTTAGAAAGATGTTTGAAAGTCGCTGAAAGATCTTTAAAAATCTTTGAAAGATGTTTCAAAGATCTTTTAAAGTCTTCGAAAGGCCTTTGAGGGATTTTTCAAAGATCATTGAAACGCCGGATGTGAGCTTTGTCAACGGAACAGAAAGAGGTGCGGTATAAGCAGTATCCTGCGAGCGGGACGAAACACCGGAACCCTATTGCGTAACGGAGTCGGAAACGGCAGGTATACGACTGGGATCTTGTTAACGTGATATACAACAAGAAACTTAGTTGGGAACCGCACGGGAAATGACAACCGTATGCGAACATCGCACCGGGCTGCAGGAATTAGCGAGAACTCAGCAGGATCGGGAAGCCGGATCCGATTTTGGAATACTGTTTCCAGGAACTGACCGGAATTTGACGGGATTCTGCCGTACATCTTTGACCTGGGGTAGCCTATAAAAAATGTTTAGTGTTCGAAAATGCATCGAGCATGCACATTGAGAATAATTATTGACAAATAGTTTGTGCAGATCGATATGAATGAGACGATACCCATGTCATCAAAATCGCACGAAAATCGGCGATTTTATCGTGATATAGTAAGTAGGCCGATTAATCGTGAAACTATGTCGCGAATAAATTGCCCAAACCGACGATTTTTACCGATTTTCATCAAAAATCGCGATTATTGAAAAAAACAAATTCCGATCGTCCGACCTGGTCTTAGTATTGGCATCCATGAATACGTTTCAACGCCTAATCTATTGGCGCTTACTATCATATTCATACATATTTTTCGAGAATCGGAATATCCGATATTTGGGTGTGGGTGTGGTGTGGTGTGGGTGTGGGTGTGGGTGTGGGTGTGGGTGTGGGTGTGGGTGTGGTGTGTGTGTGGGTGTGCGTCTGAGGTGTGGATGTTGGACGATATTCACTTTTTTTAACATCCCCACACCTACACACCACACCCTCAAATGAGCTAATCTTTTTCCTGATGATAAAGAAAAGTTCCAAGTTTTGATTCAGAAATCAACAGCTCATCAACACACTTGACATCTAGCATAATATATTTGTCTCCGAATACCTTCATCAGTAGTTAACCACAAAAAAACAAAGATATTCAAAAATCTTCTTGGTGTATTTCTTTTTGTAGAGCTTTTGAATACCTTTGTGTTTTTTGTGGTTGATTATCCATGAAAATATCCTATTAAAAGTTAACTGTAGTCGTCCGAGTTCTTCGAGACTTTCTATGTAAGAATATTGGAAAGGATTCTATGATGTGACGGAAAAACTAGATAGCATAACGAAAATTTTAAAACATAAGAAGGTAGTATCATCTTACAGAGACGAAAAAAATCTATCATTTATCTTTTTGGCAGAAACTGTAGATGAGTCTCTTTTAAATAGATCGAAATAGTTTTAAGCGGTGTATACTAGACGTTTTGTTCATAAATAAAACCTTAAAATTCTTTTTTATGATTAGGAAAAAAATTAGCTCATTTAATCAAAATACGATGGAGATATACAAATTATTTTTTAGCAAGTGACTTTCCTGACATGATATATACATTGAGTCGATAAAAGCGGGTAGGAAATGATAACTAATCCATTCCAGATGATACGACTTACCGGTGGGTTATGATAAAATAATTTGAATGTTTTCACCCTATTTTAATAAAATGAGGTTCCTTTTTTGTAGAAAATAGATGACTAGGTAAATTTTTTATTCATAAG